GTCATTGTTGTTTGGCGGGTCCGGGCTGGGGATTCGAACCCGCCACCTTAGGTGTACATGGCTGGCGCCTTACCCGGTTGAGCTATAGGTGCCGAGCCCCTCTGTGTTATTCTTAACACAAATATTACATTTATGAATGTGTGGGTTACTCCACTCTGGTAAGTTTTCCTTTTAACAAACATTTGTCTTTTAAAGAAATATTTATATAGTTACCCTCTTATTCACCATTTCTGGGGCTCTTTATTCCTTATTATAGATTTTAATTACGATCTTGTGTCATTTCTTTTTAGCATAAAGAACTTCTGTTAGCAGTTTTTTATTTATGTATTTATTTATTTATTTTTGGAGACAGAGTCTTAATCACCCTGGGGGTGAGTGCCATGGCATCATAGCTCACAGCAACCTCAAATTCTTGGGTTCAAGTGATTCTCTTGCCTCAGCCTCCCAAGTAGCTGGGACTACAGGCACCTGCCACAATGCCCAGCTATTTTTAGGGACAGGGGTCTCATTCTTGCTTAGGCTGGTCTTGAACTTCTAAGCTCAAGCAGTCCGCCTGCCTTGGCCTCCCAGAGTACTAGGATTATAGGCTTGAGGCACCTGGTGTGAGCTACTTCTTTCAGTGTTTGCTTATATGAAAATTATGTCTTTTGACAATTCTCCATTGAGTACGATTTACATGAGGTTAGACAAGTTCATGAACTCATCCTAGAAAAAGTGCTACACATCTCCTTGCAGAGTATCACTGTGGTCACCTTTGAGGTCCTCCCCTCGGGGAGCTATGCACCAACGTCAGCACCTAATCCACCCTGCAGAGCAATTTTGGAACTCTGTTTCTGGAATGGTCATCAGAGCTGTTGTCGTATGAGGTCTGACAATTAAGTTTGTGAACTCATCCTAGGAAAAGTGCTGTCTGCCTCATTGCCAAATATCCATATAGTCACCAGATGGCCAATGGGAGAGTAGCTTATTTTCAGAAGAATCTTGCACATTTGTTTTTAGAGAATAACTACTAAGTGTGACTCAGGCAAGTCACTGACAGGATTTTCAAACTCATTTATCTGATTCCTTAGTAATGCGTCTGTGGGATGAGAAATGAAGCATTAAATATTTCACAGTGTAAGGAAGGTGAGTAGAGAAATTTGAGCGATGAGAACTGGAATCTCAGCTCTGACTCTTGTTAGCTGGGTTCCTTGGGTACAACACTGAACATCCCTGAAATTCATAAGGAATGTGAACAATCTTTTTAATGCCATGTGGCTATAAAGATAGCTAAAAGGTACTGAGTGTTAACCATAGCCTACAAACCCACCACCTGTGAGTTTCCCAAAGGAACTGAATGCACGGGGTGGTGACACTGACAAATAAGAACTCAAAGTACCACTTACCTGTTAGCCTTGCAGCCATCACTCTAGTACTTGGTAAAGTAGGTTAGGAAGGCTTGAGGCCTAACTAGGGCTTCTCCTCCCTAGGTCCTAATGTTACTACCAAATGACCATGAAGCCAGAAAAAGGGATATATCCAAGGATCCTAGGACCCCATGGGAAGGAGAGAAGGGAGATAGAGTGACTGAGAGAAGCAGCAAGAGCAAGACAGCCAATTCCTTCCTGACTCAGCTGACTGACTGTATCACACAGTCCCCTGATGCATTAGTAAACATGGCTCCATCAGCTCTGGAACCCAACTGTTATGCCACCAGATCAGCAACAACTCCTTCTAGGGCAGGCACGGGTGTCCCCTTCTAATGTAATTACGGTATGATGTGTGTGCTCGGATGTGTGTATAAAGACAGGCCGAGAGAGCATTTTAAAGAAAACTATAAGAGAACATACCAAGCGATAGTGCTTAACTAAGATTTTAGTATTTTTCAAATTTTCTATAATAAGCCCAAACCGATTACCTTTTAATGGAAAAATATATACAATAAAATGTGGTGTAGGTGGTCCCCAATTTACAAATATCTGACTTAGGTATGACTTGCACTTAGGAATGGGGTTTATCACAGGTAACAGGTAAAAGTCCCTGTTCCAACTTACATATAAATTCAGCTTAAGAACAAACCTACAGAGCCTGTCTCGTTGGTAACCCGTGACTGCCTGAACCTAGAGCTTAGTCTTCTGGTCCAAGAGCAACAGCAAGGGCAGTGTCACATCAGTGTCACATGATGCGTGCCAGAGCAGCAGTGCATCAAAGAGCCACGCAATTGGTAATAGCCAGGGAAGACCTTAACCATGGGCGTGATGGAAACTCTGCCATCTCTACACATTATCTTTACTGATTTGCTGTGGTTTGATGTTGCATGTGGTGGTGCGTGTGACTTTTGTCCCTTCTGCTCAAGCGTCAGGTCCCTGCAGTGAAGACTTTGTTTTCTAGGTCTCTTCTTTATCTCCAATTTGCCACCTGGGAAATCACCTTGCAGCTCAGTTAAGCTGTTAGTCCCATCACCGTGGCCCAGCTATTTGTCCCAGTCAGGCACAGTGCCCTGAGTAGTAATTTGGAGCCAGATAACCAAATCAGGCAGGTTTTCTTTGTCCCTCCAGCTCCTCCTCTCAGAGCCTCTGAGGAACCTCGCGTGGAGAGAGATTTGAGCTCCCTGGAAAAGGAAGGTGATGAGACTAAATCTGAAGTCAAGGTAAAATCCCCTTAATTTCACTGATAGAAATTTTTGACACAAGAGAAGATTGCTGCTGTAATTATCAATAAATCACCAAATTGTGTTCCTCTACTCCGTCCCTCTCATCACTCCCAGAAGATGAAAGCATGCAGTGAGGACTAATGCTCCCTAGAGCTAAAATTTGCGGGGATTTGTTTTTTCTTCCTTTTCTTTCCTCTAATTGCAACTAGAAATGAAAATTGGGCATGTGTATAATTGTTGGTAGATATTGTTTTATTGAAGGAAAAGTTATTTATTCATTTCTATTATCAGACTTCTTATTTACAATTGGTTGGGGCTTGGTGCTTGTAGCTCAGTGAGAGGGTGTCAGCCATATACACCGAAGGTGGCAGGTTGGAGCCCAGCCCAGGCCTGCTAAACAACAATGACAATTGCAACCAAAAACTAGTGGGACATTGTGGCGGGTGCCTGTAGTCTCAGCTACTTGGGAGGCTGAGGCAAGAGAATCCCTTAAGCCCAAGAATTTGAAGTTGCTGTGAGCTGTGACGCTGTGGCACTCTACCGAGGTCGACATAGTGAGACTCTGTCTCAAAAATAAATAAATATATAAATTAAATTAAATTAAATTGGTTGAACACTGTGTGGTTCATGTATAAAGAAAGTTGACAGACTTGCATTGTAATGCTTGAATGGCGGGTGAACTCTGAACCAGCTCTGTGGCTTGTGCCAAGGTGGATTTCTTGGGTTTGATATTACTCTATAATTGTGCAAGATGTTAACACTGGAGGAGGTGGGGGAAAGGGCACATAAGACTTCCCATTTCTTTACAACCTCATGTGACTCTCTTGTAATTATTTCCAAATAAAAGTTTAAAAAAACCCACAGGCTTTGGAATTAGGCAGACCCGTGGTTAAACAACACAACCTCTCTAAACCTTGGTTTCTCCTCTATAAAAATGGAGATAACAACAGTTACCTTCTGAAACTTTTGAGCACCAGATGAAAATGTGAAAATTGCTGAGTACTGTATAATTTTCAAGTGACGCTGTATTTAGAAACCCAATAAAATGAGTTGTAAATTTATGTTGCTGCACAGAAACCCCCAGAGTTCCCCTTCCCCGGCCTCACTGACAGTTAAATATCCAAGCTGCTGAATGGTTCTGAAGCCAGAGGCCTACTGACCATGGGCTCAAATGATGTCAGCTACAGTTTGGATTCATCATCAATTCCTAATGTATCTGAATAGAGGACCTCATAGGAGCTCCACCAACCTTTAAGGAGTTAGGCAGAAAGCAAGTCATAGGCTTTTCTTTCTGGAGGCAGAAACACTGGGTGAACTAGAGTTGCAGCAGACTTTTCCTTGAGAGTGAGAACTGCATTCTTCTGCCAGTTTGTTTAGTTATCCTGTATTCTGGGGAGATTAGGATGTGCTGTTGCTGTTTCTCAATCTCTCATGGTTGGAAGAATCACACTGCCATGTCTTCTTGAGTTAGGAAGCAGTCTGCACCTTCCTACTGTCTTGATGAGCCATTTAAAGAAATCAGTAGCAATTTTTTGAACTGGGTAGACATAATGAAACTTCATCTGACTCGATTCTGATGACATCTGTAGAATCACTGAATAATGGTAACAAGGTTTAATTGTAACCATCTTCAGAAGTAAACAACAAATTATCCTTTTCTGCAACCCAGACTTCTGAGAGAATGTCATCTTTGAAGGTGACAATTGTGTCATGTGCACTGGTGCCCATATTTGGCCCATCTTCAGACAACATATTTATGACCTGTACATTTTTGTTAAGATGCTGTGGAGCCAGGCGTGCTGGCATGTACCTGCAGTCCTAGCTACTTGGGAGGCTGAGACAGGAGGATCACTTGAGGCCAGGAGTTCCAAGTTGTGGCCAGCTTGGGAAATAGAACAAGACCCTGTCCTTTAAAAAATTGTGTGTAAAGATGCCATGGGAATTTTATGTACATAAAGATTCTCATATAAAGGAAGCCAAATCTGAATGATTTATTTCAGTAATTGTGAATAGTAAGTACAAGTGTTATTGTTCCATTTGTTATAAAAATGAAACAGACAATGTAGGAGCAGAGGTGGGGACAGGATCAGAAGCCTCGTGGCTTGGAAAGTGCTGAGTAGAATCCAAGAAGCTCTGACCATCAGACTTTTGGTTTCTTCCTTCTGCCATGCTGTGAATTTTACCCAGACTCCAAGTCCGTCCTAGCAGATGCACCTGCCCCAGGGGCTTAGTATGTGTACAGACAGCACGGGTGCAGTAAAGCAAGCACGGGTGCGTGTTAAAATCATCCTTCTGTGCTCTGGTTGTTTTTCCTTACTGCTGATTCATTTGCATATTCAATGTCGGGCTTTTCCCACAACAGCATGTATGTGGACAGTCCTGGTGGTGGAGGAGGGGGGGTCAGAACAGAGGTTGCTCAGACCTCTGCTTAGAAAGAGCAAGGCTATGAGAAGAAATGTAAGCAGAATCCACAAAGTTATGAGGAACATGAGTAAGGCAGGCAGTGGATTTACGTACAAAATCCCCAAGTCCTAGACTTAGAAATGACTTTAGGACCAATAAATACACTTAATGTTTCACAAGTTGGCTATTATAACCAGGGAAGTCGTTATTCTAAGATATGTAAGAAAACTAATTTAAAAAGGCAGATTAGGAAAAAAGGCTTAGACGCGTGTCCACCTGAACCATGGGGTTTTAAAAAGGGGTACAAGGCTGTTGACTAACATCACTAATAATAACTGGAGCTCGTGTCTGGTGGCCATTGTCCAAGGCAGATGACGTGGGATGGATAGAGCATGTGTGTAACTCTGAGTGGCAGTTCTGACATTCTTCAGCCTCAGGCCTAGAGCTCAGAAGAGGAAATGAAGTCACAGCCAGTATAGTGAAGTGACTCAGAACTTTGTAATAAATGCCACTTCTTCCCCTCAAGAACAGCAGTGAACTCAAACCGTCCATAGTGAGTAGAGTCACTGATACTCACTGACCACACCTAAAATCATGACGGGGTTTGAGCATCGTTAGAGAAGACCTTCCCTCCAGCTGTGCCAGTTCTCAGGAACTTGAGAGGCTAACCAAGGCAGTTGGGACTGTCCCGAGACCACCTGGCAGGGTTGTTGCCATGTGCTCCGCTCACTGACGTCACCGGGAAAGCCCTGCTGGGGAAGAGATTCGCTGTGGTGGTTGGCAGTGGTGATACGGCTGTTTCCTGTTCTTCACGCCACAGGCTGGAAACTGAAAATGAGATTCATGGGAGCTGCTTTCCCCTGGGCTGCTCACATCACACCCTCTCTGAAAGCTGAAAAGAAGACAGAGGCTGACGGTTTCTTTTTCCTAAATGAGGACCCACAGAATAAATGAAGGGCTAATGGTGGTCCTGGGTACCCAGTATCTATCAAAGTCATTTGAAGTAGCAGGAGCCTTTTCAAGCTCCTGGGCTAATAGGCTCCCTGAAAAAAACAAATTATTTTTTGGAAGCAATGCCCAAAAGGGACAGGAGAGGGGAGCGGAGGACTGGTCTCAGGGTGTGTGTACGTGATTTCACTTCCAGGGCGCAATGCCTTGTGAGGAGATAATGTCCCCATTTTTCAGTGGTGCTGGCAAGACTCAGAAATTGAGTGTCCTCAGGGATCACGTAACTAGCAAAAGGGAGAGCTGGGATTTGAACCTAGCAGTTTCCTTATTTATATAACTTAATTTATCCACCTGATTATTTAGTTAATCTACGTGCCTACCATTTTACTTAATCTCTTACGCCCTAAATGCCCTCTTCTGAGAAATGGGAAGCTTCACTCCACAGGAGGCAGATTGCATTAGCAACGTGTGGAAAGCAGCGCGAGCCTGACACGTGGCAAGTTCTTAGCAAATTTTAGTTCATCATTTGATCCCATGCTGATAGACAGAGTGTCTGTCTGAAAGACTCAGAGAAGCTGGAAGAAGGTCAGATTCAAGCCTTAATTTAATTCTCTTAATCTCAAACATGTATGTATATTTTTGCCAAATGATAATGGCTCAGGGGCCACTTACATTTCCTTATCTTCTCACTGCTTTGAGTCCCATAAATTGTCATTTAGTCTTTCTGATTTTTAACAAGAGAGCTATATGGACTGTGAGCACATTTCAAAGTTAGATGTCTAGTCAGCGTCAGAGGTAATAGGAGATTTGGGGACTTCATCAAATCTTTAAAGGAGCCCCCAACCAAGGTTTCCCATGTACCAAGGCTCTGAGCGTCTTACAAATAATGCACATTCTCAGGCTCTGCCCCCAGAGATTCTTATTGTGGAGGTCTAGGGTAGGATCCAGGAATTTGGATTTTTAACTTACACATTTGGTAACAAGAATGCAGATGGGTCACGGCACACCTCTTTCGGGTGGGACACAACGAGAAGAGGGACTTTACCTAATAAACGCAATCAGGGTAACCTAATTTGGACCTTCAGTGAATCCCAGACAATATATGAAATAAAAAATAAAGGATGCAGGTGGGACAAAGACAACACCCTTTGTAATGTCCTAGGAAGCTACGTGTATAGACCACGAGGACTGGGGAGAACTCATTAAGATGGATCTCTCGGGCTAATCACAGAGTTTAAAGTTTAGGGAAGTGAGGTCATGATTATATTGAGCCTTGAGAATGTATTTTCACTGAGGGAGCTGAAGAAGAAAAAAGAATAACATTAAGAATAACATTAAGCTTGCTGTTGGTTTTGATTTTTGACCAATAAAAAAATGATGTGACTAAAATATTTGATGGATCCAATTTGGGCTGCTTATTCAATTTTATTATACACACACACACACACACACACACACATATATGCCATTACTATGGAGTATATGAAAACAATTCAATCATAGGCCTAAAACTCAGGAAGCTTGCAAGGTTCAACATATTTCCAATCATTTGTAATATGAAGCAGTGTGACATACCTACTATAAAGGGAAGATACTATGTTAGGGGGAGGAAGAGAGAGCCGTTTCTTGTAAGAGTATTGGAGTAG